TGGGGATTTCTTGATTTCATGTTTCTGCAATGCTTATATACATAGCCCAAAAAGAAGGACTCAAGTGGCAAATGTTTATGGAAATCAGATATTTTATTATTATATGATAATCAGTGGTAAAAATAATTTAAACAGCAAAGATGGCAAAAAAGTCCCCATTCCCTCTTTCTGGCCTACAGGTCCCAATTTGTAGCATTAAAAAGTCATTATCCTCTGTGGCATCTTACTACACTGATGGACAGTGACTGCAATGGGGTATGGGGAGGAACTCTATAATGTGGGTGAATGTAGTAACCACATTGTTTTTCATGTGAAACCTTCATAAGAGTGTATATCAACAATACCTTAATAAAAAATTTGTATAATAAATAAATAAATAAAAATAGAATGTGGATGGGAAAAAAATTGAATAAACAAAGTTTGACCCTGGCTTGGCCACTCACTGGAAACCCTTGGAAAAAAAAAAATTCCTTGTCCTTAGTTTCCTGAAGCTTCTCAATAAATCTGTTTGACTAAACTTAAATATGTATGTTGTTATTTTTATATGACTTAGAAAAAGGCATTCATATATAACTCAAAAATTTAAGACTTAATCTTTAGTAGAAATGCCATCTATAAAATGAGGCCACTGGGTTCTGAAGAGCAGTACCTAATAAAACAGATGCTCACCTTAGAAATCCATTGTCAGTTTCTCACAAATCATTTCCTGCTTTGCCTATTCAAGGATAAAGTCCCAATTCAGTAAGAAAAAAAACAAAAGTTACCTTGAGAGATCATGCAATTTAAATTTATGAGCATAATTTTAAAATAATTAAGCTCTTTCTATACATCACTTGTAATTCTCTCATTAATTTTACAGCATTGTTTTCTCCATTGTAGTGATGACAAAATTGAAACTTGAGGTTTTAAGTAATGCCCAAGGTCACAAGACTTAGCAATGGAGCTTGCTTTTAAAGTCAGGTTACATGACCCCAAAGCCTCCTTTGCACACTTCCCAAGAACACGTGATTGTGAGGTCATTGTACTAGCATTGTTTATATAATACTCAAAGTCAATATTTCTATCATAATGAGAGGGTTCATAGCCATAATGCATATTGGATAGTGAATGTTCATGTCCACATATGTGCTAATAAAATTCTGTATACGTGATAGAAATTAGTTCTGGTTACATTGTACTCAGAAAAACTGTATTGTACTGATGAAGGTATTCTCCACAACTTTTATGCTTTTCAAAAGATCTTTTGACAAATATTAAGGCTCAGATGATTCCATTTCAATATTATAATGGTAATGTTGTTGACAGGGGAGAGAATCATGTGTACAGTGAGAAAGAAGGTTCTTCCAAATACACAGATTACTTGAAGAGTAAGTCCCATCCTAGGGTACTGAATTTTTATCTCTAGCTCTAAAAGCACGAAATGAATCAATTTCTTCTAGGTCTAAAGATACACAAGAGGGAGCATTTGATATTTCTATATTCTACATTCTGTTCACTCATTTATTTAAACACAATATTATTGATCATATACCCTATGTCAGACATTTGACCAAATGCTGATATTTGCATAGTAAACAAGACATAATTCTTTTCCTTCTGGAGCTTAAAATCCAAAAATGGGATACAGACAGTAAACAAAAATTAAATAAAAATTATGCAACTAAATTGTATAGAAAACATTAAGGTACATAGAAAACATTAAAATAGCATACATCCTACCCAGTTAAGTGAATGTGTTAACTAAGATGAAAGGAATATGTGCAAGAGACGGTCAAAGTGCAAAAATAGCACTGATATAACTTTTTACAGCAAATGCATTCAGGTGTTATAGGAAGTAGGGTGTGAGTGACTGTGGAATTCTCTATTATATAAAATTCTGCAGTTAAACCTAAGGTTTCTTTAAAAAAATTATAACTATAGAAATAAGACATTATTGGGCTAAAACCCACATAAAACTGGCTAACACTATCCCTGACACAGTTTGTACTCAAGAAGTACCCCAACCTTTAGAAGTTTTTCTTTTAGAAGGAAGGAAAATTTGTAATGTACAGGAACTCTTCCATTAGTCTCAAACAAGACTTAATGCCAAAAGAGAGAATTATAAGGCCTAGGAAAAACTGTTTAAGTAATAGGAAGGACTGCGAACATGAAAATATAGTCAACTATCACATCAGTTGGGATGGTGTCATAAAGAAAAGTTTATAAAACTGTATTCATCCTCTACTGATATTAAGTTAGAATGCAGAGTCTAGATAAAAGCCACTGTCCGAAGACAATAAGAAAGCAATATGTTTTCTCTTAATAAAACATATTGCTTTCCTGCAGTCCAAATATTTTATATCCATATAGTTATTTGTGTGTCTCTATACATGTGAAAGGTTATATCTATACTTATACCTCTCCACACAGTGAAATTTTTACTATATACATGCATTCATATTATGTCTTAAAAGATTTATATGTACTCATTTTTAACAATTTTAACCTATATTTAACCTTTATTTTAATAAATGTTTATATTATTATACTGAATTTAAGCCAAATTATTTTATAAAATTAAAACAATTATACTAGTTTGAAATTATTAAATCAACCACCAGATGGCGCTCCACGAACTAAGCGTCTGTAGTCAAAAATTTAATATTGCTTGAATTGGTCAAACTGGGAAAAATTACAATACCTTTTTCCTGCAGTTTTTTTTTTTTTGAGAGGGCATCTCTCATATTTATTGATCAAATGGTTGTTAACAACAATAAAATTCTGTATAGGGGACTCAATGCTCAATGCACAATCATTAATACGCCCCAAGCCTAATTCTCGTCAGTCTCCAATCTTCTGAAGCATAACGAACAAGCTCTTACATGGTGAACGAATTCTTACATAGTGAATAAGTTCTTACATGGTGAACAGTACAAGGGCAGTCATCACAGAAACTTTCGGTTTTGATCACGCATTATGAACTATAAACAATCAGGTCAAATATGAATATTCGTTTGATTTTTATACTTGATTTATATGTGAATCCCACATTTCTCCCTTATTATTATTATTATTATTATTATTTTTAATAAAATGCTGAAGTAGTAGGTAAATGCAAGATAAAGGTAGAAAACATAGTTTAGTGTTGTAAGAGAGCAAATGTAGATGATCATTTCCTGTAGTTTTTATTAGTTTCCTTATCTGCAATACTTAGAGACCTTATGAATTCTAATATATGAGCTCTTATTAAAGACAAAATACCGAATTACTTGATTAGTATGAAACTTGAGAAAACAGATTTTTAATCTCAAGTCCCTTTGCTTGTTACTTTATAACTTACTGAGAATACACGTTCCAGTGTACATTAATAAAAGTATGTAACTATAATGTAAGTTAAGAACAGATGAGAAAAAAAATCTATTAAATCTTGCAATGAATCCACTTAGCGCCCATTTTTTAAATGTTTATTTTTTCCCTCTGTTATGTGTTTGTGTATGTATGTTTTACCCCAGAACCTGAAAGTAAAAAAGATCAAAAGATGTCCAAAGCAGGTAAGGACAGTTTGTAAAATGTACTTATAAGTACATTATCTGTTAGTTATGAACAAGGCTGGGTTAACCCTTGAAATGCTGAAAATGTTGAAAAAAATACTGGTGCACTCCCCTCCCCATACTTTAAATGTAATAAGCAATAAACTTGAAGGTATGCTAAAATTAAATAGATGCTATGTTTCCTGGTAGCAGAGTTTGGATATATTCATCAAAGCTCTGGGACTGTTAGTATATGCTGCTCCATGTTTATCTATCGAGCAACTGAGCACTGTTGTGTGAAGGGGCCAATTTGAATTTCAGAGGTTTCAGCTAGGTGGTGACAAATGCCTAAACCTATTCTCGTAATTAGCTGAACCCTTTGAAATCACCTATATTCAACTATTTTTTTACACCAAAAAACAGTAGTTTCTTATAGTTCAAACTAACAAATTCAACCATTTTCTTTCCTACTAATTAAATATGCAAATGTTATTTGGAATAGTAATCCATTGCCTTCTTGGCCACTCGTGTGAAAATTGGTATACTTTTAAAATGGAATCAGAAAACAGATTCTTAGAGAGAAACATGAGATTAGCTGGTTACTCTTAAGACAGATGTTAAAAGTTGGAAGAACCATCCTAGGATAGAGGAAAATGCAGACAAAGACTAAAAATCCCAAGGAAAATTCCAATTAATGACACTATTTCTTGAGATAACTCTATTCCAAATATTTTATATCCATATAGTTATTTGTGTTTCTCTAGCTATATACTCAAAAGAAGGTTATATTTATACTTATACCTCTCCACACAGTGAAATTGTTATTATATACATGCATTCATATCATGTCTTAAAATTTTTATATGTACTCATTTTTAAAAATTTTAACCTATATTTAAGAAATTCTTGTTTCACCTTCTATGTATATGCTAATATTAACTTGAATTTCTGTCATTTCTCTTGAAAGTACTGCCAACATATCAAAAAAAATTATGTGTTTTCTTACTTGTAGTGACTAAACATGACCATTTTAAGTGAAAGCATGTATTGTCTGGACACTAAATGGAAAATAAGCAATTTTAAACAGTAAGAAAAATGCATAATGGAGATTAAATGATATATTGAGTCTTTAACATCAAAAGGTAGAATTGAGCTTTAGAAATATCTATAAAAAAAGGAAAAGCTGCATATGAAAATTGCTCTATTGTTAGTTCTTCTGCTAATATCAATGAAAGACTATTGATTGGATAAAAGGTGCATAATGTTGTCCCTTCTTTTAAGAATAACATTGTATTTTATGATTTTACTGTTGGCATATAATTTAAAAAGTAATATATACACTATGACTTTCATAATTATTAATTTACATTAAATATTTATATCTATTTTTGTGTTATATTTATTTCTCAGTTTCTAAAAGGAAAGAGAAATCAGCATTAATGGCAAATGTTATTATAAAATATAATCAGTCAACAATTTATTGAAAACATATACTATGTTAACATTACTGCTAACTGTCCAGAATTGTGCTTGGTGATACAAAATTTACAAACAAGTAATATGATATTGTTTCTAGCCCAAGAGAGTATAATCAAGGATGCAGACATGAACTATTGAAAGATGGCTACAAAACAATTGTTAGTGAATGGTACTCTCGGAGTCTAGAGAGAAGAGCCACTCCTATAGTCTGTATCAATCTATGAAAATTTAATGGAGGTGTTGGATTTAAGCTGGGATTTTAGGAATATGCAAGAGCAACTGAGACAGGGAGATGATTATAAAGCATGTTGGAAGCAGTGCTAGCTTTATAACATACATGAATTTGACTCTGTGTCACTTGTTAGGGATATGACTTTACTTACATTTCTTAAAGTTGCTTGCTTCAGTTTCCTGCTCTATTGAATGAAGACCATCATGCTCACCTGGCAGGGTTGTTATAAGATGTGGATCTGATGCTTGCCATTTGGTTCAGCTTCAATAAATGATAGCTCTGTTTAGGAGTTAACTCAGAGGCAGGGATGAGCATGAGGTAAGCAGGAGACAGTGAAGAGGTTACCAAGGGCCAACTGGGGTCCCAGGGGCCACATGAGGGACAGAAGATGGCAAGCCTGCCTCAGTGGAGCTGTGTGAGGGTGGTTTGGGGACCCGAGCAAGGGGGCTCAGGAGGCCAAAGGCAGTATTAGAATTCTTAGAAAGTGAATGAGAAGAAAAAAATGGCACCCTAAGTCTTATAATGGCATGCAGAGTGAGATGGTAGCAAAGAGATTTTGAATCTGAGGTTTGACCCAAGAGCTTTTAATAGTCATCAGGGAATTGTAAAATAGAGGTGAGAGAAATCAGTAAAGAAGAAAAAATGAGAAAGTGAATTTTGTTTGCTTTCAAGATTCTTTATAGCCATGACTTAAATTCAACATGTAATTATTAGGAATTCACTTTTAAAAATCACAGAACCCAGCAACCCATTGAAAAATAATAACATCTTGTTATATATTCTTTCAAGTATATGAATACTTTAAAGACCCAATCGTACTATCTACACTGCTTCTGTAATTGTCAAGCTGTTTCATAGGAAAAGAATAGACACTGTTGACATTAACTACAAGGTCTCAGGCGCGGAAGGATGGAGAAGGAGACCAAATGTATAAGTTGCAAAGGAAACGCAGGTAGGGTGCCAGTGGAGCGTCCATGCAGATAGCCTAGAGGCACCTGGAAACTGGGGATGTTCATCTGAAGTCTTAGACAAGGTTTTGTATCCATGAGTTTAGAAGTTCAGAGTTAGAAGCCAAAGAAGAGAAGGAATACTTCAAGATAAAAGAACATGGAGAGAAAAGAGAAGAGAATGAAGGGCAACTTCGTGAAAATGAAAAAGAATGGATAAAGAGAAAGGAAGAGAGTTTCCTGGGAGATCAGGAAATACAGTGTATCAGCATCCCAGAGTGGGACACTTCAAAGGAAAAGTGGAAAAGTCAGCAGTGTCGATGTCTCAGAAGGGTCAAGGGACATGATGATTGAGAAAAGGCCATTATAATTGATAAAACCTGTCATTTTGTGACCTTGGAGAGTATTTTTAATAGAGCAATGGAAGTAGAAACTAGTTTATAGGAATTAACAAGGAAATTTATCATAAGTGGAGGTAGAGCACAAACTACTTGTTTCAGTAGTTTGTTGATAAAGGGAGAAAAATAGTATATTCTAGCAGGTGGAATCAATGAAACATGCTTGTTGTTCCCACATTTGTGGTGGGCTGGAGTTCCACAGAAAGGGGGAGCAAGAAATCTAGAGGGAGGTGTTAATTAGGAGAGAGCCATTGCACATAGAAGTGTTGGGATGTGCACTATAGGTGCAGGGAATTAACTTAATTATGAGACAGAAACAATTTCCCATGAGCTTTGAGAGAATAATGAAAGGATAAATTAAAATTGAGTGTTCGTGAAGACATTTTTGCTGAGTGATCTTTAAAATTAAAATCTCTTCTGTGAAGTTGATCACTGCCTTGTTTGCTGCCAAACCCTGGGGATGGTTTTCTTGCTTCATATTGTGATGACCTCTACACAATATTTGACTGTGCACACCATCTCTTATTTCTCAGAAAACAAACAAATGAACAAAACACCTTTCTTTGGCAAGACTAAGCCATTTAACCAAGACTGTTAATAATAAAAAATAAAAAGACAAAACATGACTACATTTTTAAATAATGGAACAACATTATAACAAGTATTTATTTTTGACAGCATATTATTAGCCACTAAGTCCCTTTGTGTTTTCCCCCTCAATAAATATGATGGCAAACAGGACATGTATGTCATTAGGTAATTGGAGAACAGCCAAGTGTTCTTTCCTGGAAGCTATGGACATTAATTATAAGTAGTAACATAATTAGAAACAACAAAAAAGACTTACTTAAATAATAAGCAATAATTTATTTTTCTCGTTTATCAGGAAAATTAATATTCATAAACAAAATCTTTAGAGTTCTATAACTGCATTTCTAACTGCCTAATGAATATTTTCACATAGTTATTCTGCCTGCACCTCAATTTATTTAAAACTGAACTCAGCATCTTTTTCTCTTGTTCCTTATCTAAGGAAATGGAGCTCATGATTCATTGTTCAGTTTCATTGCCTTAAACTTCTGAGTCATTGATGGCTTCTTCTTCCTTTTCAAAACCCAGTATCCAAGTAGGTTCCAAGTTATGTGTTTCCTAAATTTGTTTCCTCCATTTTTATCTCTTTTGGTAAGACTCTATTTCTAGTACTTATCATCTCTTGCTTGGATAAGTATACAAACCCGAGATCTAATCATTTTGTTTTCATCTCCTCTTAGAAGAGCCACCAGAAGCCAATGCTAGTGTCTTTTCTAAATGGATACTGCAGGGAACAGTGCGACAGTCATTGCACTGCAGTACTAGTTCCCTAACATATTTCTTGATGTCGTTTCCATTTGTCCAATCTCCCACCCCACCTCACCTCCCCCTATATAGACATTTTAAAAAGATCACCAGTTCTATGCATTTTTGTCTAGTCAGTGTCTTGAATTTTCTTTTCATGTCAGACCCACATCAAAAGCACCTTACCTATTTCACCTCACCTCCAGTTTTGACAGCTTACTTTCCCACCCACCCCCGCTCTCTATCTATAAACACACGGTCATGACTCCAGTCTTCATCTGTTTGTACATGTCTTCCTCTGTTTCCACAAGCACATATTTTTTGAATGGGTTATTTTTAACTTTGTTTCTAAGTTTCTATACTCTCTCTCCCATGAGATGTACAGTCTTCTCTAATTTCTGAGACAGAAAAATCACTCAAAAGCCACCACAGCAACAACTGGTTGACAAGATTATTCTTATGTAAAGGAAGGCATTTGTTAATAATTTTTTAAATTTATTTTTGACGAGTGTCTTGGCTTTGTGATATAACACACGTAGAGGCAGTTTTTTAAATGTAAAAGACCAATGAAGGCAAAGAGGTATAGAGCAAGAAGCTTTAGGATAATAGATATGGAGTGAGTTACATTAT